GAGCCTGGACAGGCAGGAGAGGCAGGATGTGCTGGGGAGTTGGCACCTCCAGGAACAGTCCCTAACCAATGAGACACGGAAGCTGGCACATAAATGCCACAACTTCTTCACCCTTTGGGTGGAACCACTTTGAGTGTGTTCCACAGACTCTCCCAGAGGTCCCTAGTGGGATGGACCCCAGATGCCCAGCAACCAGCTCATTAACTGCCTTCCCTGGCTCACTTCCCCCACACCCCTAATCCATCTGTTTAGGGGGTCACTTCCCCAGTAAACTACTCGTGCTTGAATCTTTGTCTCCGGGGCTGGGGGACCCCGATCCAAGATGGGGTGATTTCGTTCTGTGTTGTACACTCAAAGCAAAAGGATCTGTGGAGGGGCCGTCCAGACATCAGAGCTGTATCCCAAACTCTGAACTCAATCACCCGATATCTTCTCACATTCTGCTATGGTCTGAACGTGCCCCCTCAAGATTCACATGCTGAAATCCTAACCCCCAATGTGATAATATTAGGAGGTGACGCCTTTAGGGAGGGATTAGGTCATGATGGTGGAGCCCTCATGGAAGGGATTGAGAGACCGTGTGAAAGCTCCCTGCCCCTTCTGTCATGTGAGGAGACAGCGAGAAGGCGACCATCTGTGAAGCAGGAAGCAGCCCTCATCAGATGCCCAGTCTGCTGGCACCTTGATCTTGGACTTCCCAGGCTCCAGAACTGTGAGAAACAAACTTCTATTGTTTATAAGCCACCCAGTCTGTGACTTTGTTACAGTAGACCACACGGACTAAGACACATCCTTTGACAGTGACCGTTTATTACATATGTCCGGGCTACGTACTCAGATTGGGGGGGGACCATTGACATAGCTGAGCACCAGGTAAGGTGTCCTGGCCAGCCGGGCAGGACAGCAGCAGGAGCCCCCTGATGGTGGCAGGAGCAAGGTGACACCCACCAGGAAAAGGAAGAGGAGGAGGAGGAGCAAGGTCAGGCAGTGCCCGGATGCAAGAGGAGGGGCTCTGTGAAGGGAAATGCAGTGTTAAGAGCATGGTGTGCTGCCACCATGAGCCCTGCTCCCCCCTCCCCAGACCCATCTCCCAGGCATCTCACCCAGGGTCTACCTCCAACATCACGTCCTGGAGATTGGGAGATGCCTGCTTCTTGTCCTAAGGGGAGACAGCAGCCAGCAGCAGAATGGATGGAAGTAACCCTTAGTCTGGACTCTTCCTTACTACTACAGACCTACAGGGCTGAGTTTATACTTCCTCCTTTCCTGGTGCCCCCTGAACCCTCAGGACCCAACCCACATGGCCTTGGAATATCTCCAAGTGGGGTGGATATCTGTGCCTGCCCTCCATCCAGTCTTCCTTTTCCTGATAACGGTGGTTCAATGTGTGAAGGGGGTGGAGGGCATCCTGCCTCCCCACCCTCAGGCCTTCGGGCTCTCCCCACTTCCATGACTGGGAATGTGAGCCCGATCTGGCCAATGAGAGCACTCCATCAGCTTGGCCACTGTGATTGGTTCAGGGTGTAGGTCATGACCCAAGCTGGCCAAGTGGAAGTCAGCCCTGAGACTTTGCTGCCAGTAGGTCGGTGGCACTCTGCTTCTCCTTGGGTGGGTGAACCAGTGGGACGTGAGTGTTTAGCTGCTGGGGCCGCCATTTGCTGAGAAGGAAACCACCTTGAAGAAGAAGAGCCCAAGAGAGGGAAGGACTGAGCCCTGATAGCACCTGAGATCTTTTCAGCAGCACCCGGACTTTTCACTTACATGAAAAAATAGCATCCCTTTCTTTTGTGTAATTCAATTTGGGTTAGGTTTCTGTCACTTGCCATCAAGATTCCCGAGTGATAGCCCTGGCTGAGGACCTGCTCACCTGAGACTTCTGGAGCAGGGAACATCTTCGGTGACCTGCCAAGTGTTTCCAGTGGTTGAAGCCCGACATGAGCATGTCCTGTGGGGAAAGAGAGGTGTGGGGTCCTTGGAGAACTAGGGACAGACACAAAGTTGGGCAAAGGCCAAGATGGGCTTGTCACAGAGATGAGATTCTGGGGGAAGAAAAAGATCTCAGGGAGAGAGAAAGAGAGGGGGCAGAGCCGAAGAAACCAAGAGAAAAGAGACATTACTTATTCATTCATTCAACAAATATTTAATGAGTGTCTATTACATGCCAGGCACTGTTCTAGAATCTATACACAGGCAAAGTCCTAGCGTCCATGGAGCTTATATTCTAGCAGAGAGAGACCACACATAAATAAATGTACAATGTCAAGATGTGGTAAGTACTGTTAGGAAATAAAGAGGTTAAGGAGTGATCATGTTTGGAAGTCAGGGCAGGCCTCTCTGAAGAGGTGACATTTGGGAGGGGCGCCTGGCTGGTTTGGTTGGTAGAGCATGTGACTCTTGATCTCAGGGTTGTGAGTTCAAGACCCACGTTGGGCATAAAACTCAGTTAAAAAAATTCTTTTGTGACATTTCGGGAGAGACTGGAATGAAGTGAGGAGATGAAGGGGCATGAGTCGGGGGGCTTTGAGATAGGAGTGACTTTGGAATGAAGAACAAGGAGGCTAACGTGGCTGCAGAGGGGAGAGTGAGGGAGAGCCGGGGAAATGAGGAAGTGCAGATAGAGACCCCAAGAGGGAAAACAGAAGATGCAGAGACCGAGAGAGGCAGGGGGGAGGGAGGGAGGGAGGACAACACTGAGACAGCAAGAGAGAAAGAGACACTGAGAGAGATTGAGGGAGAGACAGAGCCACCAAGAAGTACCTTAATAAGAGACACACAGAGGTGTCCGAAGGGTGCCTGTGGGGGAGGGGTATCCCCCACCTGCTCTCACCTCAAGGCCTTGTCCCCCGCTCTGGGGGCCTCTGTGGCCACACAGCTCACAGCGAGCTCCTGGTGTCCAGGCTGTCTTTTGCCCCAAGGGCCTGAGGCCTCCAACATCCCCTGCCGGGTCCCACTCCAACTCTGCGGGAGTGGGGTAGCTACTGGGTGCCCAGGGCCCCCAGACCCCACCAGGTCCTGGCCCGTCCAAGTCCCCCTCGACTTCCAAGTCCTGATCCAGTGGGTTGGCCTCCTCAAATACCTGGTCAGAGGACAGAGTCATGGGGGGTGTGGAATTGGTACCTGGGGTGGGGACCGCCAGGGTGGGCCGTACCAGGCTAGAGCTGACCAGCTGGGCCTGCAGCCACCACAGTCGCTGAAAGATGCTGCCTCGGTGGGCTCTGAGGGCCCTCAGGACCTGCTCCAGGGATGCCCGGGCCCGAGGCTCACTCCGCTGTGCCAGCCCCTCACCGAACGCCAGCAGGGCATCTACACGCTCAGCTGCCCCACGCAGGTCTGCCTGGAGGGCCTGGGGATACAAGGTCAGACACCACCCCCCACTCCCCACCCGTACCCCCACACACCAGGAGCACCAGAGGTCTGGGACCTGGAGTTACATCTCTTCTTGTCCTTCCTGGCCAGACACCTGGCACATGGAATAAACCCATTTCCCACCCCAGGAAGCTGGCACCCACTCCTGAGGCCCTGCTCACCCTCCCACATCTTGGCCTCCCGCTGCCCACCTGCAGCTGGCCCATCCTGCTCTGGGCAGATACCCAGGGCCCCAGGCCTTGCTCTCGGTCCTGCAGCCGGAGGCCCAGCCCCAACAGGCATAGGGCTAGGCTGTCCTGCTCGGCCTCCAATACCTCCTGGCCGGAGCTGAGGTGCTGAGGAATACAGGGGACTGAGTTAGGGCCGGCGGGCCACCCCTCTGCTGCTCCTCCTGTCGCAGCGTCCATCTCTGGGTCTGCACCAGGGTGGCTCCCACCTGGAGTCCTTCCTGGGGGAACCAGGCCTGAAGACCTCTAGTTCAAAGCCTCCAGGTTTTCAAGGCTCCTAGAAACATGGACATATGGGGCCTGGGGGCCTGGACAGGGAGGGGTGATGGAGCTGGATATCCCTACAAGGAATGGGACCGTACCAGGGTCAATATGAAATAATTCTCTCCCAGTTGGTAAAACAATGAAAATCTTCTAGTGTGATTGGTAAGTCATTTTCTAGAGCATCCCCCGCCCCTCCCCCCCCACACAGATACCCAACGCTTTTCCAGAATCATCATCTCATCCCCAGAATCTGGGGGAGAGGAAGTGAGGGCTGCCACAAGGGGCCTGGATCACCTCAGCTTACCTCACAGTGTTTGCCCCCAGCTGGGTCCTCACTGGAAGAGGGTGTTGGCAATCTGAGGGGACCAGCAGCAGGCTCAGTGCCCCTCCACCCACCCTGGAAGTGTTGGGGAGGGTCCAAGGCATCTTGCCCCAGTTTCTGGGCCTGGTCCAATCTGGGAGGTATGAAGCATTGACAGGCCTCTGGGTGCCTACGTGCCCATTATCCACCCTACCTTACCCCTCTCCACAGCTCCCTCTGCCACGCCCCTAGGTGATCATAGCCACAGTACCTCTCACCCTCAAAATGCCCCCGCTACTGCCCCCACCCTTTTGGGACCCAAGTTTCAAAAGCCCCAGCCCCTACCTGATTCTCTCCTCTCCAGATGCAGGGCAGATGGTACATCCAGCAATGTCCAGTTCCCTAAGGCCTCCAGGGGGGTGGTTGAGGGGCTCTGAGGGGAGTCTAGGGCCCAGAGGTGGGGGCAGGGCCATAGCTGTGAGCCTGGGGATAGTCAGTGAGGATCCCCAGTGAGAGCCCTTTCCCTGGCTCCTGGGCAGCCAGAGGCCCAGGAGCAGGCTCAGCTCTACCTTCTAACAAGCAGAACCTGGACACAGGTAACCTGATGCCCAGCTCAGGTGACAGCAGTACCATTTAACTCCTTCCTCCCTAGCCAGCCAGTTAGCTGAACCTAGGCTCACCCCATTCATCCCACCTAAGGGGTTTCCAGATAGAACCCTGACCCAAGGGCCCTGGATTCTGCCCCATACATCTGACCCCAGGGCCCACACCACCCAAGGTCCCAGACACTGCCCCTCAGGAACCCACGCATCTGCACCCCCCCACCCAATCCAAAACCAGAGTGATTTTTATTGGTTTATTTGAAATGCAACCTCTTCCTGTAGTTCCCACAAAGTTACAGGGAAAATAAATAACCCGCGGCGGGGGTGGGGCCTCCCGCCTCGGCCCCAGGGTTCCAAGGTCACAGGGTCGCAGCTGCCAGGAGGGAGGAGGCGCAGAGCCGGGGAATGCGAGCGGGCCGGGCGCCTGGCTTCACTTGCTGAGCAGGAGGCCGGTGCGCAGCACGCGGGGCACGCGGCGGATGGTCAGCGAGACGCGCGTACCGCGCACCAGGCTGGCTCCGGGCCGCGCCGACGGGCAGGCGGCGACGTTGGGCGGCAGGGAGGTGGCGTCCAGCGCGTCCACGCGGGCAGCTGCGATGCCGTGCAGGAGGCGCGTGTAGGCGGTGCCTCGGAGCACCAGCAGGCTGCGCGGTTCCAGCAGCAGCGAGGTGGCTGGCCGGGGCGGGGACCGGGGCTGCGGGGCGGGCTGAAGGTCAGCGGGTCCCCAGAAGTCAGGCGCTTAGAGTGAGCAGCGGACTTTAAAGGTGGGTGGGTGGGTGGGGGGGTGAGTAGGTCAGCGAGTTCCCGGGGGCCAAGGCCGAGGGCAAGCGTGCTCCCTGGGAGAAGCTCTGGAGTGGAAATCCTACGGGACTCGGTTAGTGGGCGCAGGTGGGGTGGGGGAAGGACCAGCAGTCCCTTGGCTGCCGCTTGGACCCAGGGCTCAGTAGTCCTAGGAAACTGGATGGAACTGGACTGAGGGCTTGGCTGAAGCCAAGAAGGGGCAACAGTGAGGTGGGCAGGAGCAGGTGTGGTCTGGGCCTGTCTGCAAACATCAGGATGTTTGAGGACACCCACACAGTAGAAGGGGGTGTCAGCCTATCCAGGAGCACGTAGGGCTAAAAAGGAGCAGCTGGGATCAGGGTGTCCAGGGGAGTTTCTGTGAACCCTGAGGTATGGGAAATGCATTACTCAGAGAAAGGTCAGGGAAGCCGCTATCATATGCAGCCCTCACAGAAGGGAGTCGGTTTATCTGAGGGGGGTCCGTCAGCAGCGAGTCATGGGTTGAGGCCCCAAGGAGAATCTGAGGTTGTCCTACAAGGCAGGTCTACACTACTGGAGTGGCAGAGTGGTCTGTGTTGGGGTGCCCTGTGCAGTGCGCAGAGAGAGGATGTCTAAGAGGATGTCAGGGACATCCGCAAGTACATGGTATTGGGGTATCTGAGGATATCAGTGCCTGTTGGAGTACTAGGGAGTCCTGCATAGGGTATATGGACCTTGCGCTATTGGAGCACTCTGAACATGTGGGGCCAGGGATCCGTAGGGCATCAGGGCATCCATTTAGCAGGTGAGGGTACTGGGGTGTCTACAGATATCATTTCTAGGGCACCCTGCAAATTGATGGGGCTGGAGTCTGGGAGGATGTGGGTGCATTCCATGAGGGGATGGGGGGAAGGTGTCTGGAAGAGTATCAGGGAGGGACTGGGGCCTCTTGGAGGAGGTGGGATGTCGGGATGCCCACGAGTGGCTGGGGCAGTGTCTCGGGGCCCACCTGCTCTGCAGGGTCATCATCCTTTGGCTGCCGCGGCTCGTAGAGGTCCAGCATGGTGTGGGAGCCCAGGCTGATGGTGCTGACGGTCGGGTAGTAGAGTGGCCCGTCCTCGTGGGGCTAGGGAGCGGGCACCAGGGCTGGACAGGGCAGGAGTCCACACCCCCCACCCTCTGGGGCTCAAGGAGGGCGCCCCTGCTTGGGATGGGGGGTGGTGAATGCCTGGTTGGGGTATGTGGCTGCTTAATGAGTAGAGGTGGGTCAACACGATGCCCTGCCCCATGATGGATCAGAGGTTTGAGGGTCGGGGCGAAGATGTGTGCTTACCATGATGCCCTCCCCAGGCAGATACTGGTTCACAAGGACGTGGTTGGCTGGGAGACCCCCAAAAAGGCTGAGGTCAGATACTTTGTCCACGTAGCGCTGGAGCCACAGAGGAAGCCGCTCAGGAACCATCCCCCGGGGATGGGGGAGCCCACCTGGGAGAGGGCAATGGGGTCCTGAGGACACCCAACCGAGGAGCCCTGGCACCTGCAGCCCCCATTAGGGATATCCCAGTGGCTGGGAGCACTCTGACCCTGGGAAACCTCTGACTCTGGAGACCACCATCCGATGCTTCCAAGGCATCCTGACTTCTTCAAACCCCTGGACACTTTGAGATACCCCCAACTCATCAGGAAATCCCTCATCTCTCAGAACCTCTGCTCACCCCTCAGAATCCTCCTGGCCCTTGGAACCCCTTGAACCCTCAAGGACTCACCCAGTGTCACCAACCTGAGCCACCTGCCCCAGCCTACATCCCCAAATTGCCCATGCCCCCAGGCAGGGACACTTACCCCAGTTCTGTAACTTCCTCCCAGAGAGCTGGGTCCACTTTGGCTTTGGGGCATTGAAGACCTAGGAGGTGCGGAGGGGTCAGTCCTTTTTCAGGACCACTCTGATTCTCCCACCCAGGTCAACATAAGGCCCTCTACCTGGGATGGAAATGGGTCATCTCAAAGTCTGTGGGATTGTTCTCTGAGATAAGTGTTCCCAGGATTGTGTTGTCTGCCCTCGCCCCTGTGTCTACCAGGATCAAGGAAAGGAACCAGAGCTACACAATCATGGTCTGAATCTACTCAGAGCTCTGGGCTGGACTGGACTCTTTTAACCCAGCAAATAGTGTGCCCTCTGTAATTTCCTGAATCCTGGGCTATCTCAGCACAGCCTGACTTCTGGAACCTCTTTGTTCCTATCACCTGGGGGAGGAAATGTGCTAGGCTGGGCTATCTCAGCATATAGCAAAGAGAGTACTTTGAAAATTCTCCACTGCCAAGATCCCAAGAGTCTAGAATGGGCAATCTCCAAGAAGTCTGTAATCTACTCAATAATCTCCTCATTCCTTTCACAGTTATGGGGCTGGAATGGGCTACCTCAGCACAAGAGTCTGTGTTCTGTGGGGTGCCTGGGTGGCTCAGTCGGTTAAGCATCTGACTCTTGATCTTGGCTCAGGTCATGATCTCAGGGTCCTGAGATGGAGTCCTGCGTCAGTCTCCACGCTCAGCGGGGAGTCTGCTTGAAATTCTCTCTCTCCCTCTCTCTTAAAAAAAAAAAAAAGGAGTCTGTGTTCTGTTGCTAACTTATTCCTGGGACTCAACTAGACAAGACTACTTGGGATGACATAAGGAAGATCTGTGCTCTGTAACTAAAGTCTGAGGCTGCAAAAGCTCTGAGCTTTGTAAATTTTTTTCCCCAAACCTTGAGAGTAGAATACAGAATACCGGGCCATCTCAGCACAGGTGATCTGTGCTTGGTGACCTTGTTCCCAAGACTCTGGCTGGGTCTATGCTGAGCTATCTCAGCAGAGGGAAGAGTTTACCCTGTAGCATTCCGATGCCTGGGTTACGTCAGCCCAGAAATCTGAAACTGCAAATTCTTAATTCCCCCAACCCCAAGGGCCCGAACTGGGCTATCTCAGCCTATGTTTGTAACCCCCTTTTCTCTATGATAGCAGGATTGAGCTACCTCAGCACAGAGGGCAGGAGGTTTGTAACTTCCTTGTTTCTAGCATAAGGAATCTGTTTCTAGCAATTTCAACTCTTTTGGAGGCTGGACTGGGCACAGGGAGCCTGGGCTGCGTTAATAACTACCTTTCTAAGAATCACTTTGGTTTCCCCTAAGCCTCCTGGGAAAGGCTCTTTCTGACAGGCCCCAGCAGGTCCTGCGAGAGAAACAGGGAAGATGAAGGATGGGTGCTGGGTGGCACTCTCCTTCCTGCCGGGATCTTCACTGCAGCCTTAGGCTCTCTCACACAGAACCTAGGGTTTGGGGAGGGATCTGGGAAGGAGGGCAAAACAAACCAGAAGGGTGCTGGGGTTACCTGTCGAAGCAAATACTCTTCCTCTTCCTTGGAGATGAAGTCAGGGACATAGTAGATTACAGGTGGTGCCTAGGATAGAGAGCCCCCTGAAGGTGCAGCCCTTAGACCTACACAGGAGCCCTAGTATCACTGAGCAGACTCTGAAGAGAGGCTCCGGATGTTCCCAGACAGGCCAGGGCCTGACCTCAAAGGACTAACGTCCATTTTGGGGGTGGGAAGTGGGGGTGAGGGTGGGGCTATATCCTGAGGGTAAGAAGGAATGTGGAGGGAGGGAGCAGTCCCAGCCCACAGACGCAGGAGTCATTACCCCTACTCTTATCTCCCACCCTCTAGTCCCCATCTGCACCCTCTGCACCCCCAGTCCTGACAACCTGCTCCACCCTGAATGGTTCCAGGGCTGGAACCCTGGCGTCCTGATCCTCCATCGACACCAACTCCATGCACCCAGTCCTGTGGGGGAGGGGAGGACACTCTGAAGTCACCAAGCCTCCCACCCTCAGGCTATGATCCCATTTTCTGCTTTATCAAGGGCCAGGGCCTCACCTCAGCCCTACAGGGAAACTTACTTGGTTTCTAAAACCCGAGTCCTCAGCATCTCAAAAGCCACCCGGACACAGTGCACCCAGAACGCTGCCCCGCTGCCCCAAACTCCATCCACAACGGCCCATCAAACTACACACATTTTTGCCCCTCTTAAGCCTCTCACAGAGAACATCCTCTGACCTCACTGGGAGCCATTCTCAAGAGCTCCACGCATAGCTTCCAGGGCTGCACCCAAAGCCCCTTCAAACAGTTTGAGACCCCATCCTAACAACATCAGGTTACCAAGCAACCATGAGTCTGGCTGTCTAACAATATTCAAAGTCACCACGCACCCTCTTCCAGCCTCAAACCCTTTCAGATGCCCCATTCTCAACACCCATGTGCCCCCAATCTGAGTCTCCTGAGATTTCCCCATTCCGGCCCCTTTCACACTTCTCCTCCCGAGAGCCCCTTCCCTGCAGCAACCTTGGGCCTTCAGTCCGGAGCCTGACTCCTCTCCAACCTTCTTCCTTACCTGAACCCCTTAGACTCCCCACCCCGAGTCTCCTAGAATTCCACACTCTGAGCTTCCCTGGACTCCCATCTGAGCTTCCTCAGGTCCCCATTCTCAGCCCTCTCGGACTCCCATCTCCATCCCCAGCCACCCCCAAAACTGACCGTCCACCAGTGTCCCCTCCAGCACCCGAGTTAAACACCCCCATTCCCTTCCCAGCCACTTCCGCCCCACGTTCCTGACGCACGTTTCCTCAGACCAACGGGAACTCTCAAAGGGCCTAAGCGTCCGCCTTCCACCCAATCGGCGCTCTCACCCAATATTGCCCCGCCCCTTCGCCCTCTTTCAGTGATAGGCTGCACCTCCTGCCCCTGAGCCACTGGGGATCCTTCGGAGACGGGTCTTCATCAGGCACCGACCAATCAGGCTCCAGGACCCTGCCAGTTCTCACTGCGGAGTGGGCCCCAAATGGGAGGGGTAAGCCTTGGAAGGGGCCAGGTGGGAAGGGAAGCCGCCGGGAGACAAGACTGTTAGAACGACTTCCCGCAGGCTAAATCATTCCGTGCCCATTCCGCAGGGAAGCTAGACTGAAGGAAGGACTTCCTCTCTCGTCCTCCCCCGGCAAGGGTCCAGAGACAAGCCCACAACAACCCAAACACTGACCTGACGCAGACAAACCATAGAAACGTCTTTATTGAAGGGGATAGGGGTCATGCTGAGTTCGGGGACATGCAGTGAAGGGGCAGTCGTGAGCTGTCCATGTTGGTCAGGGCCCCAGGTCCACCCTAGACCCCTGGGCCTTTAGGTTCTCCCTCAAGCTGTTGGTCTGGCCCGGGTGCTGTGAGGTCCTTTGGGGCCAGTGACTCAGATTTGGTGTTTTGGACCTGTGACCAGAACGTAGATTGAAATAGGGGGTCCAGGATTTGGGATCCCCTCAAGGCCTTGGGGCCCTTCATGTATTAGAGATGGAGGCTTTAGGATTTGGGGTTCCCTGGGGGCTGGGGCTCTTTGCATTTGGGTATCTTGAGATCCATCGACTCAGGGCATTGAAGTGCTCTGGTTTCCAGGGATGAGAATTCCTGTTTGGGGTCTCCTGGTGCCTATGAAAGGGCTTGAGGTGCCCTGGGAGCCCGGGATGCATATCCTGACTGCAGTCTCCTCCATCCCAGGCACAAGGACCTCCATGATTGGGGTTTCCTGGGGGCTTGGGATTGAATTTTTAAATTTGGGATTCCCTGGGGATTTGGGGATTCCATGATTTGAGGATCCTGGGAGTTAGGGCCTTAGGGTCCTCTAGGGGCTGTAGGACTTAGGGGCACAGGGGAATTTGGGACATGTCCTCTGGGGTTTGGGATCCCCAGAGTCCCAGAATGGGGCCTCCAAATTTTGGGGTCCCCCAAAGGGGGAAGTCATTACTTAAAAAATAGAGAATTTTCTGGGAGCCTGGCCAGCACTGGGGCTGTGGGCCGTGTGGGGTGGGCTTCATACAAGGCACTGGGGGTTTCATGAGGGTGCAGAGGGTAGGAAGACTTAGGGGTCCTGTAATTAGCACTTCCAGGACTGTTTTGGTGTCTGTAAATTGGGGGTGAGAGTGGGCTAGATAATGTGGGTCTCTTCTTGAGGGGTAAGAGCAGGGATTTGTTAATGTAGGGTGTCTTTGATTGCAGTGTAAGCTTTTGGGGTGACCATGGGGGTCACATCTTGAGGGGACTGACGTTAAATGTGGTTGTTACTCTGTTGCTCTGGAGGTATGACCTGTGTTTATTTCAAAGGGATTTGATGGGGGGGTGTCTTTGTTATGGGGGAAGGTTCTGATCCAGTGATGAACGACTCAGGAATGTTCTGCTCTGGAGCATGATGTAGAGGTCACCATCATTTGAGGTGATGTGGAAATATGTTACTGGGGGGGTCTGCTCTGGGGGTTGGGGACTGGGACTAGCCTGAAGGTGCTACACTCAGGGAATCTCTTTCTGGGTACCATGGGGTCTGTATTTGGGGGTTATCATGAGGGAATCTGTTAATAATGGGGCCTCAGTGATCCAGGGCTGGCTAATGGGGGTCTCTATTCTGGATGTGTTACTGGGAATCTCTATCTCAGGGTGACTTGGGGGCTCCTTGTGTCAGGAGATGCTAGAGGGGACTCTTTGACGCTCTGTCAGGTAGCCAGGCCTCTAAGACTGCATCTCCGCCCTCAGCATCCAGGGAAACCAGCAGCAGAAGAGCAACCTGGAAAGGAGAATCACGTCTGTCACACCCTGATGCAAGATACGGGAACATCTGGATTCATCACCCCACCCCACCCCCACTCCTGCTCTTCCCCAGGTGTCTGGGATTTGGCCTTTCTGAATTCTGTCCCTGCCTGTCTGGCCTATGCCTTCTCAGGCTCCTGTGAAGTGGAAGGTGTTCTGCCTCCTCTACCTGCCCCTTAAGAGTGGAAGACACCAAAATTCAGTGTGGGACCTCACTCCCTAAAAACCATTTCTGGGTAAGCTGACTAGTCACAAGTTTTCCGAACCTCTATTTCCAGCCCCAACCAGAAGTCCAGATCCCTATGTCCAATGGCCTCGTGCAACCTCTCCCTGAACATCCCACAGGAGGTGGGCCAAGGGTTGGCTACCCACCTGGAGATGGAGTTCTCTGATGCGATGTCCTTTGGGGTCCGGACTGTCGTGAAAGTGCGTTTGGGTTGTGTCACTGAAGGGGAGGGCAAGGTCTTGGGTGAGGGGATGACAGACCCTCAATACCCAACCAGACTCCTTGTCATTGATACTTACTCATGTCCCCAATACCCACCTGGACCCCACATTTCAATACCCATCTGGATTTCATGTCAGTAATATTCCCTTTATCCCCCATACCTACGCATGTCCCCAGTGCCTGCCCAGAGCCTTGTTGTTAACATCCCCATACCCTAACCCCCATAGCACTCAGCCTCTTTGGGATCCTGTCTCATCATTTTCCTGGACCCTATGTCCCCTCTTAAGTACTGGAGATTCTGTCACAAGCATATACCTGAGAACCCATGACCCTTCCTCCTATCCCCAAACCCTCACCCCTTCTCTACCTCCTACACCCCAGCCCCCACTCACTTGTCACTTGATGCACTTTTTTGGCTCCGACATTGTCCCCAGGGGGGTCAGTGGATCCACCAATTCTGGGGAGACATGAGAAGAGTGGGAGGGGTCAGTCACAAGAGGCCAGGAGAGCTGAACCCACAGGGCCTACGCAGAAAGAGCTAGAGCGTGGAGGTGGGTAGCCACACTGTCCTGCTGGTCCGAGAGGAAGAGATACCTGACAGGGGTGGGCAATCAGGGTTCTGGGAGGTGCCCTGGGCTGGGGTTGGTGTTTGGGCTCACCTCTGAATTCGGGATGCTGGCGCAAAGACTCCATGCCGTGGGGGGCAGGTGAAGTACCGGACACCGAAGACAGAGCCATCGTGCTTGCCAGTGGGCTGGTCTAGCTCAATGCCATACCAGTAACCTGCAGCAGCGGGGTGTCAGGCTGTCTCAAGGTCTTGCCTGCCCCCCACCCCCCCCACCAGATCACTGTCCTCACCGGGGGCAAAGTCTGTCTTCCCATAGAAGCGCACAATCCCTTGCTTCTGGCCCGCAACAAGGACTTGGTCTCCAACCTCAGCCTTGGCTCCCTCCCGCTGTTGCAGGCTGCCCAGAGACGGGGATGACGGGGGCTTCTTTTTGCCTGGGGTAAAGGGTACAGGAGAAGGGAGTGGGGTCCCCAGATGCCAGCCCTGGGGACCCCATGCCACCCAGAAAGACCCAAGATAGAAATTCTGTCCTGACTCCAATCAGGAACTCTAGAGCCTTCCCCAGAACCAAGAGGGCTTTGGGCTTGAAACAATCTCAACTGCCAGAAAACTGGGGGTGGGGGGGTGTTAGGCCTGAGGGGAAACTGAGTCAAGAACCTGGAGAACCCCAAAATCCTTTCTCAAAGCTGAGGTTATTTGGGCCAAAGGAAAAACTGAGTCACAGAAGTCAGAAACCCAGAAATTATCCTTTTAAAAAGAAAGAAGGAGTTGGGTGTGAAGATAAGTCACTAAAGCCAGGAACCCCACTGATGCTTCCCTAAAACTGGGGGAAAACCCTTGACCTGAGGGGAGACTAAGTCATAGAAGGCAGAGAACCTACAGATCCTTTGAAGAATTGGGTGGGGGGCCAGTACTACGTCAAAGGAGAAACGGTGACATAGAAGTGAAGAACTCAGAGATCGTCCTCTAACACAGGAGTTTGAGCCTGGGGAGAAACTGAGTCACCGAAGCTGGGTTACCCACTGAATATCCTCAAATTGGCTTGCCTCACCTTCCTCACCCAGAAGGTTCCCCCTCTGACCTTTGTGTTCCCTGCGGCCTTTGCCAGTGACACGGGAAAAGTCCATCCGAGGAGTCCGAGGTGTGGAGGTGACGGATGAGGGGGGTGCATCCACTACCTTGGAGATCTTGGACACAGAGGCAAAGAGACCTGGAGGGACAGAGCCTGCTCTGGGAGTGGTCCAAGCCTCTGCCCTCTGCCCACCCCCATCACCAGCATCAGAACTACGGAGGGGACCCCACCACCACCCCTTCTGAGCCCCAGGTGGGACTGACCCTGCTTGGGAGGGCAGATGAAATACCGGACACCCCCAACACTGCCATCATTCTTGCCCTCGGGTTCATCCAGCTCCACGCCCACCCACTGGCCACTGGCGAACTCCGTGGTCCCGCAGAACCGAAGTGTGCCCGTCTGAGGAAACAAGGGAGGATATGGTTTTGGCGGGGGGGGTCCTTGAGAGGCCATGATAGATCACTGGCACACAGGCAGCATGGACAGTGGATGAGGGAGCCCTAAGCTCAAATCGGTTTGGACATCACCATTTACTGGCTATATGACTTAACGTCACTGAGCCTCTGTGTCCTCATCTATGATATGGGAACAGAAATCACACCTACCTTATAGGATGGTTATAGAACTGCCCTGTTCAATGCAGTAAACAGGCATTAGCCACATATAACAATTTAAATGAACTGAAATTAAATTAAAATTTAATTTCGCTGGTTGCACTCAGCACGTCTCAAGTGCTCAATAGCCACACGTGGCTCATGGCTATTTTACTGGGCAATACAGACACAGAGTATTTCCATCCTCACAGATGGAAAGGTCTATTGGACAGGGCTGTTGGACAGGGCTGATATAGCCTCAGAACAGGGCCTGGTGCTGAGTGAGGGAATAGTGAGTGTTGATTATTA